CTCTCTCTCTCTCTCTCTCTCTCTCTCCCTCCCTCTCCCTCTCCGTCTCTCTCTCCCCCCCCTTCCCTCTCTCCCTTCCTCTGTCCCTTGGTCGCTCGAGCTCACTCTCTCAAAATAAAAAATAAAAGCAAATCATATAGAAAAAAACATTTTGAGGTGCCTGGGTGGCTCATTCAGATAAGCATCCGACTTCAGCTCAGGTCATGATCTCATGGTTGGTGGGTTTGAGCCCTGCCTCGGGCTCTGTGCTGCTGGCTCAGAGCCAGGAGCTTGCTTGGGATTGTGTCTCCCTCTCTCTCCGTCCTTCCCCCACTTGTGTTCTCCCTCTCTTTCTCTCTAAAAAATAAACATTAAAAAAACTTTTTTTAAATTTCTAGGTGAGTTAGGCAGGATATCACTCAAGGACAGTGTGCTGGGCGGGCCCTGTGCCCAGATGTTAGCTTCTAATCCTTTGTTACTGTTAACAAAAAATCAACCGAGCCATTTTGAAGCTCTAACTGGCTTTAAGCGATTCGTGAATTGGATAGCATCCCACCCACCAAGTAGAAGGGAGCTGCAAGGAGTTGGGCAGAATGGAAGATTTTTACAGGAAGGAGGGTGAGGCAAGAAAGTTTAGCTAAAGAAAAGATTGTGACAGCAAGGTCACCTTCTCTTAGAGGGGAAGGGGGAGGAGGGGGGCAGAGGAGAATTAGGTAGATTACCTCATATTCCTTCAGGTGGGGTGGTGAGGCCCATGTGACATTACCCCAGTAGTGCGGACTAGAAAATCCCCGACTGGTTAAGACTACGTTTCCCGGAGGGAGGTTGGAACCGCAGTTGGTAAGGTAGGTAAGGTACTAAGCTCCCCTTTGGGGACTTGGCCTAAGTGGCCCCACCTTTAGCTTGTGGTTTCCTAACATCAGTAAAAAGATGTGATTTAGTGTATACCTTGGGGCAGAGAAAGACGAGACTATTTGGATATTTTATTTTAGTTTGAGAGAGAAAGCATGAGCAGGGGAAGGGCAGAGAGAGAGGGAGAGGGGAGAGAGAGAATCCTAGGCAGTCTCTATGCTGTCAGCTTGGAGCCCGACGCAGGGCTCGAACTCACCAGCTGTGGGGTTATGACCTGAGGTCGGACGCTTAACCCACTGAGACACCTAGTTGGATATTTTTTTTTTAATGAGTAGTTCTGTGAAAAAGGAAAAATCTAGGCCTCCCAAAGAGAGCAAATCAAATGAGGTTGGCTAAGAAAAATCAGGCTGGAATTCTGATGTTTATAGAATTTCCTAAAAGCTGATCAACCTTAAGCCTTATTTGTATTACTGTGAGGGTCGCCAGAGGTGTGGGCTTGGAAGGGCAAAAGGCCATAAGCCAGAGGCTCAGAGAGATGGTTCTGGCACGGGCCTGCCCCTGAGTAGGAGCTCGGAACAGCGGGTCAGTCCCCAGTTGTGCCACCTCCACGCTGGAGCCGGGCAAAAAGACTACTGGGCGTCCACATTTCTGTGCAAGAAGATCTGTACGCGTGGGGTAAGAAAAACAGGCAATCCAGTATCACCAGTACTGATACTGGGTCAGTAACTGGCTTTTTAAGATGTTTGAAAACGTTCAGGAATCGGAGATGGTAAATGTCTGATTTCTTCATTTCCAAGAGCCCTTTAAGTACTCAGAAAGAACTTAGTGGTTGGATTTTGTATATCAAGGAGATTATGTGTATAATTGAAGTGTATAAGGGAATTGAGGTCATCAGGTTTGGAAGGCATGCTAAATCTTCAGGGAGAAGTCAGATCTGGCAAATTCGTAATCTAACTTGAGCATTCATCCAAGAATGTGGGAGTGAGTTTTACATCCAAATTGTAAAGTTAATTAGTACAATACCATTGGAAAGCAAGTGAAAGGCTTAAGAAAAAGATTTCGAGGGGCACCGGGGTGGGGGGGAGGCACAGTTGGTAAGGGTCCGACTTCCGCTCAGGTTATGATCTCACCATTTGTGAGTTAGAGCCCCGCGTCGGGCTCTGGGCTGACAGCTCAGGGCCTGGAGCCTGCTTTGGATTCTGTCTCCCACTCTCTCTGCCCCTCCCCTGCTCACACTCTTTCTCTCTCTCAAAAAATGAAAAATAAAAACATTTTAAAAAATTAAAAAGAAAAAGATTTTGGGGCGCCTGGGTGGCGCAGTCGGTTAAGCGTCCGACTTCAGCCAGGTCACGATCTCGCGGTCC